ATATATATACTTTTTTTTTTTTCCAACTCACACCTACCTGATTGTTGGCGTATTCAGTTCCCTGCTCTTTCCTTGTTTGGTCTGTTCAAAGAACAAAACCCAGAATTTTCCGAAGACCATTGTCATGGTTGCATCTGTATTAAGTGTGTGTATCCATCATAGTTTGTCAGTTCTATTGTACTTGTTTAGTTTTCCGTTGGAGACATTTAGATGTATGGCTACTTATTGGTCACTTCTTGTTGCTTTTCGTGTCTGAATTCTTGTGTTCCTCAATGGACAAGTAATAAAGGGCTTTTAGAAATGTATTATGTCCGTTCCTTCCTTTATTTTATATTGGTGGATGGCTCATATCCAATCTTTATTCTTATTAGGTTGATCCTCAGTGTAGCATTAGGAGCAACAATAGCAGGACCTCTGGAGACACTACTGACTTGCTGGCTGATGATGGTAATGTATCCAGTTTTATATATTGGGGAGGCCAAAACGTGGTTCAAAAGATTTTAGCTTCTCTTTACATTGCAGCACTGATGTCTGACTTTGAAATCTAAAGTATTTTATGCATGCCTGGTGTAGGTGCATTACTGAATAACTGTAATGGCAGAATTTCACAGTGTGCATTTTAATAGGAATGTTACCCTTCTCTTAAAAAAATGACGGCACACCTTTTTTAGAAATGTTTAGTAGAGGCAATCTACAAGTATATTTAGATATTAGATAATTATAGATGATTATGGGCTTTTTATTTTTTGCATACCTTTTTTTTTTTTTTTTTTTTTTTTTTTTTTTTTTTTTTTTCTTTTTTTTTTTCTCCCCATTCTTCTCAGTGACCATTTTCACTATGGACAGATGAATCCATTTCCCTATACTTCCTGGAACTCTGGGTCTGCCTCCTGGGACATGTACTGTTGCACATCTGAAGGGGGGAAAAATGCCTTTGTAGTTTACAGATATTTCACAGGAAGGCACTGGTGATGTAGCTTTCCCAAGCTGCATCTGATATATAGATGTGATATATGATAATGTAGAGCTTGGATGCTATGCACTGGCCAGGTACAGTTTTCATGTGCAAGAGCTTTGTTTTCCTAAAGTTTGGCCCGTTTCAGTGGAATTCTTTAGCTTTAGTTGAAACTCTGGTTTTGGCAAAGGTGTTATTTAGCTTTGCATTCTTCCATAGGCGCTGGAGGACTCGCTAACTACTCTCGTGTCCTGTCTGAATGTGAAGAACGGTTAAGGGAATCGGAAGGATTTAGCCTGGATGTGGATGAATCAACAAAGTTTTCTGTTTGGGTTTCATTCTGTGAAATTTATAACGAGTGCATTTACGATCTGCTGGATCCGGTATCGGGGGACAGATTTTATAAAAGGAAAACTCTAAAGCTTTCTCAGGACATAAAAGGATTCTCATTTGTCAAAGGTAAGCTGCTCTTACAGCCCTTCGTTAAAATACAGGCAAACCCCAACCATGAACTTTTGTCATATCTGTTCAGAAGTATTCAACAACTATTCAACTTAAAGGAGAACTATGGGGTCAGTGTTTTTCCCCATAGTTCTCCTTAGGGTAACGGGAGGACACAAACTAGCGTCCTCCCGTTACCCTAAGCTCAGTATACCGCGAGCTACAGCTCGCGGTATACTGAGACGCCGGAGCGGATCCCGACGTAGATGACTGGATCCGCCCAGCTGCGTGAGTGACAGTCAGCGCTGGCAGATCGGAGAGGGGAATCCAGCCCCTCCCCCTGTCACGGCAGAGAGCCGTGACAGGATCGAGAGGCGAGTGAACCCAGTATGTGTTCGCTCACCTCCCGATCTACTGAGCCGACCTGTGACAGTCTCATTGTCACAGGTCGGCTAGAACTATGAGGTGAGTGACAAGCACTCACCTCATAGTTCTCCTTTTAATCGATGATCCTTGTCAACAATTCTCATTATCGATTAGTTGACCGATTTAGTTGTTTCATTGCCCCCCTGATCTCCGCTGCTCCCTGGTGCTCGGTGGTGAGGAGAGCTCCAAAACTCGCACAACCCCCACCTCCCCGCTGCTGCTCTGCTCCCTTGTTTTCCTCCCCGCTGGGAGCCCCTGCTTGTTGCGGTCTGTCCGGCGTGGAGTAGAGACCTCTGTGCCTCTGCAATCCCCTGTTGCCTCCGCTTCTAATCTGGTGCCTCCGCTGCTCCTCCCCATGTCCACGCTGCTTCTCTGTGCCCTCTTATGGCTTGCTACCACCCAGTGGCTGGGAGCAATAGCCTGCTATTGGCTTTTTTAAATTGCAGTAGCCAATAGCAGGCTGGCTATTGCATCCACCCACTGCCTGCTGTCAAGCAGCAGAAAAGTACCTGAGGCAGAACTTTCTCCCTCAGTTCCCTCTGCTGATTGACAGTGGGCAGGTGCAATACCCAGCCTGCTATTGGCTATTGCAATTTTAAATAGCCAATAACAGGCTGGCTAGTGCTCCAAGTCACTGCTTGCTGTGACAGCAGGAAGCTGTCATTCCCCAGCTAAAACTATTGACGTGGAAAGGTGACACAAAGTGGTCTAACAGACCCCCTAATGTCACAAATAAAGAGAACCTATCCTCTCCCATGTGCTATCACATGGGGGAGCTTGTGAGCCCCCCATGTGATAGCAATGAAGTTAAATGGAATTTTTTTTTAATGAAAAATGCCTAAAAAAAAAAAGGAAGTCCCCTTAGCCTGCAAACTTGCTCATACTAACAAAAACACAAGTCTGGTGCACTTGCATATGAAAATGGCGATTTATGCTGCAAATGTCGTATCGCAGCGTGCGCCAGAGAGCAATAATTATCTGGCCAATATTCTAAACTGATAACTGGGCTTGTGTATGATACATAATTTTATATAAAATGTGGGGGTTTTTTTGGTCAAATTCTGGTGATTAAAAAAAAAAAAAAGTTTGGTTATTTTATTATATTGGCTCTGAGGTTTTTCAATTCAGATAATTTTTTTTTTAAATCCATTAAACTAATTAAAATGTCTAATATACAATACAAACCGTTTATTCAAGTTAAAAAAAAGGTGGGCAAAAGTAATTTTTAGTTTCAGCCTGACAAATTCTGCTGCATGATGTGCGTTGCAGTGCCATTCATTTCAGTGGCACTCCAAACGTGCCTCCCGCCTGCAGTGTGATTGCCTGCACTGAAATGTGTGGTGAGATTGCAAAAAATGTGCATGCAGTTTTATTATGAACTACACTTTGTAACACTGCAATTGTGTGTTTTTTTTTTTTTAATAATGAAAGGGTGTGGCTTTTATTTTATGCGATTTTAATCAAAAATATTATCGGCCAACTAATCGATTTATAAAAATAATCCTTAGTTGCAGTCCTATTCAGAAGAGAGAGGGGGTGGTGATCTGTAGTCCTAACACACTCACTTTCCTGGGGTGACAATGCTACTCTTCCATAGATCTAGTTTTAGTCTGGGTTTGTTACCTTTTTAGAATAGGCATTACTGGCAGTATCACCAGGTTAAAATAAATGCAGTCACCCCATATTCTGTTGACATGTACAATTAAGGTAAATATGACAAAAGTTAAATGTGCTTGCAGAATAAAAGAAATCATTGAGAATGGTAGGCTGCTTTTTTTTATTTGAAGAAATAGTTTATACAAATACAGTAACATTTTTATGCGAGTATGTCCTGCTGTAACTTTTAATTGGCACATTTTCTGCAGATCTCCAGTGGATACAGGTTTCTAATGCTAAGGAAGCATGCAAAATTCTTGCTTTGGGGAAAAAGTTCCAGAGTATTGCTTTCACCAAGCTAAATAGTTCATCCAGCAGAAGGTAGGTAGCTTCTAAAACCATTATATTCTGTTTTGAGTGGACTAGAACCTGAAGGGTTATCCTATTTTAATGTTATCGGCTTCCAAAATCCCATTTTAGATGCAGAGCCTACAATGTCGCAGTATATTGTTTTTGATTTCCAGCTGTGCGCACCTATTGCTGGTTAATGAAGTTGAATTGCACAGCTGGTATACAAGGAAGAAAATAAATCACTTTGCAATGATGTTCCTGCTGAGTTGAAAGGAACTGCCATAAGGTCTGTCTGTGTATAGCCAGGTAGGGAGTAGGGAAGGGTTATAACCCCCTTTGGTTATTTCTTGCTGTCTGTGTCCTGGTGGGGAGGTTTACCTTGGCAATGGTAAGTGAGAGGTGATCTCTTCAATGTGAGGGGAGTTCCCTACTTGGGCACTTACTACTGGAACTGGTGTCCCTATTAAAAGATTTCCCCTAGTCTCTTTTTGTGGTAACTACAACATTTTAGATTTTCCACTACTTTCTGTCTTGGACAGTGGTCACCAGGACAAATAGTGGGAACCCAATGGAGATACAGTTGGCAATAGAAACCAGACCGGGGTTCTAACTTTCCCTGCTCTAAAAGTTTAAAAAAGAAAACTGGCTGTGTCCCCCCCCCTGCCCAGACTGGGTTTGTCAATCTCTGGTGGTGCCCAAAGTATCTACTGGTCTATCTAACCAGTCATTGCCAGCACACCACTGTTATACAAATTATATAATTGCAGTGAGGGCGCATTTCCATAATGTTGCACGAGGTTAGAAGTAGGAAACCAAGGATTTTTGCAGATTAAAAACAAATGAAAACTTAATTTACTGATCTGACCACACTAGGCACTAAAGATGATTGGTAACTAGGGCTGCTGACTGCTATTGCTTTCCTTACCTTATGTTACCACAAGAGACTTTTGAGTTTTGTTATTTTCGGTGTCTTGTTATGGTCATCTGTTTATATGATTCAATGTGTAAGATGCCTTCATTATTTTTTCAATGTTGCCTTTCTTTTCCAGTCACAGTATATTTACTGTTCGCTTGTTAAGAATTGAAGATGTGGAGGTTCCACGAGTGGTCAGAGTCAGCGAGTAAGTATACAGATGGTTAAAAATAACTCTGGGGTAATTAAAACAACAAACAGGATTTGGTCTTTAAAGAACTTGTCAAGGCAGAAATATGGCTGCTGATTTGCTGGAGGTACACAGTCCAGGACTATCGAACCTTTTCTTCAATAACAAGCATGTGCATATCTAGTGTACCCATACGCTTGCCTACCTATGCTTGTTCCAAATCAATGACTTCTAAAGGAGTGAATCCAGAATGCCAGGCCGCATTTGTGCTTCTACTAACAAGTCGAGAGAATCTCCCATATTTCTATCCTAATAGGTTCCTTGTAAAAGGGATGGCATTAAAATCTTTTTATAGTTTAACTCAGTGCACAAAAACTTGCATTCAAATATATATTTTTTTTTTAAACTTGCATTTTAAAGTAGCTACAAAGAATATATATTTACAGTAACATTGGCTACATTCAGGAGCAAAGGCTTCAATGCCTGATTTAGAATTGTTGCTGCTTTTAAACTGATTTTATAAACCCTGTCCAGACGCAGGATAGAGATACAAAGTAAAATCTATACTCGAGTATCAAAGAGTTGAGCTGCCTCAGTAAGGCCCCATTCGCACCAGGGAGACAGCAGCATTTCAGTAAGTTTTACACATTTTCTGTTCATATGTCAGAGTATTTGTTAGGCTCGTTTTCAGTTGTCCAATGAAAAGCAGTCTGCGCTGCAAAAAACACACTAATCAGCGCGTTTCCAGTGAAGTCTACAGAGCAAACCCTAGCTGATCAGCTCCACAAAAGGCGCTCTGGGACTAGTCCAAGCCACAGGCAAATTGTGAAGCGCGTTTTTTGTGAACGGCCCTCATAGGAATAAAGGAATAAATGGGATTTTGTTTTGCGTGCGTTTTAGCACTGAAAAAAAGCACAACGAAACGCCCTAGTGTGAACACCCTGTGTCTTTGTAATTTTTTTTTAAGTGGTGGAATGCTGGAACCCCTGTTGGCGTTTTTATTGGCTGTTTTTTTCTTTTTTGCAGTTTTTTTTTTTCCCCCCCTATCTTGGTTGTCTAATGGTTGTCCGCAGAACAGAAAGTGAAGAAAAAAATCTTTCAAACTGAGCTCTAGCCAGCAATAAAGCGTGACTGGTTTCAAACCTTCCAAAATGTAAAAAAATATATTTTGTATATATGTACAGATGCACTTTAAAGCAACCAGACGAGGAAAACAATGTTCATATTGAACTCCTTATTAACCCTTGGTATACCCTGATCAGCCATAATTAACTAACTCTCTTCCCCTTACTCCCTTAGCTATTTTCCTGGAGATCTTTCGGTTTTCCTTTTTCTCTCAGCATTTAATTTTTTTTAGGGGAGAAAGCTTTCATTTCATTTGTATCGAACATTACAATGCTTTGTACCAGAATCATTTTAGAGTAATTTTAAAAAGGACAAAGCTAGGCTCCCTGCTGAATAGAGCGCTCTGGCTCTAACGCAGCAGGGGGCGTTTTGGACCTTTTGTAAAGAGACCACTGGTTCCCAGCAGAGCAAGGGTCCTTCTTAGCAGCATGCTGGCAGGGGACAGGCTTTTCCTCTCGGGGTGTGATGGATATTTATTTTTTTAAAAGAAGGCAAACTAAGACCTTGCAGCTTTTGTTTCAATGCACCTGGCAATATATTCAGCTAATTTTAACTGAATGCTCATTTGGGCTTTAAAAAAAAAAGAAGTGTGCTTCTATTATGTGACTATTTGTTTTTTGAAGTTAAACATTTCTTGCCAGTTCCTTTATTGGTCCTACCCAAGCACCTCTAATCAAGAGGATTCTGGAATGGTAAATGGCTTTTTCTCATTTCATTTTGGTTTACATATTTGAGTGTACTTCTGTAATTCTGCCGATGCTTTTTGTTGTTTTTTTTTTTTTTTTTTTTTTTTTTT